ATTTTTGCTTAAATTTCTACCATTTTTGGTGTTGCTTTTTAACTTCATGCCCCCTCCCCCGCTTTGTCCCTTTACTCGGTCTGCATTTCAGGCCAACAGTACTAAGAAACATCTGGCATAGTATTGAAGCCATGTCCAAAACAGCATAGAGGATAGAATTGTTCTTCATCCTATTTAGTCACTGTCATTGTGTGTGAGACAAAAAAACAAACAAACAAAACAAAACAAAAAATCCTCTTACCATCTTCTGGTTATTCACAGGTGGGTCAGATGACATTGGAACCACCTTGAACATGATTGTCCCACAAGACATAGCCTAGAATGACAAAAGGGAAGAATGGCAAATCATGGAGCTAGCAGGGTTCCTACAGTTCAGTAGATGGAGCTGAATGTGTCCAGCTCTAATGGTGACACGAGACAAAAAAACAAACAAAACAAAACAAAACAACCTCTTACCATCTTCTGGTTATTCACAGGTGGGTCAGATGACACTGGAACCACCTTGAACATGATTGTCCCACAAGACATAGCCTAGAATGACAAAAGGGAAGAATGGCAAATCATGGAGCTAGCAGGGTTCCTACAGTTCAGTAGATGGAGCTGAATGTGTCCAGCTCTAATGGTGACATCCTCATAGTGACTTTCACAGTGGTCAACAGCTGACTGTTACCACCCAGTAATGGAAATTAGGAAGCAATTTAACCATGTGTCTGTCCCACTGTAGGGCATCAGAGTCACTGGCTGCAAAAACCCACACTGGGGTGGCTTCTCCCCAGGACTCTCCAGCTCACTGCTGGCAAAAACACATCACTCAGTGAGGTCTCTTTCCCACAGACCCCAAGGAAGAGACAAAATCATTTACTTCCCTCCTGGCCCGTCAGGCAGTGAGTATTTCCTGAACACCTGCTTCTACACCAGCTGCCCCAGTGTGATAGGGAAGATAAGGGATTCTTAAGTCTTCTGGGAGAATCAATAAGCTTCCAAACTAAAAATGGAGATGGAGAGCCCATCAAATGGATGGGAGAGAAGAAAGCATTCTGGCTTGTTGTGAGAGCTAAGGATCATCCTTTACACACACTGTGATAGACATCAGAGATTAACAAGATCATTCTCATTCTTATGAACTTCCCAATTCCATTGTCCTGGCAACTCCCCAGCCTCCAGTAGGAGGCTGGGACAGAGACCTGCTTGTTTACCTATCTGTGGCTGATGTACTTCACATTCCCTTTGCAGATCCTTCCACACCACACAGTAGCTTACAAAATCCTTAGGTGTTCTATCTCTATTCCTTATAACTTTCTACCTTTGTCTATAGGTCATCACTGGGAAAAATCTAGTTTCCTCAGGCACCCAGTTTGAAAGCCAATGGCTCAACTACTATATAGTCAACCTCAGGCCTCACCCTGTGTACATGGGGCAAGATGGATATTGCTGTGCTGCTGCGGGTAAAAAGTTCCAAACTGTCAATACAGGGGGATGGCCTGATGGGTAGAATGGGAACTTGAGGCAAAAAGTTCATATACTCAGGCTATAAATTCCCAGCAACAACCATCAAGGAACAGGAGCAGAGTCAGGCAAGGAGGCCCTTCTGCCCACATGTTGCCATCTGGAGATTCCTTTCTCCCTGTACCCAAAGCTACCCAGAGAAAGCTGTTCAGATTTCAACTGTATAAACATATTAGGGGGTAAGGGAAGGTTTGCTCAGGTTCAAATTGTTCTCTCAAACTTTTCTCTGCCTATGCTCAGTTTCCCATGGAGCACCCCTGGTGATGAGAGACCTGGACTATGGGTCTAGTGATCCTCTGGAGGATGAGTTTAGGAAAGGATGTTTCCCAGCCTGGGCCTGAACTTCTCAGGGATAAAGGAGAGAAAGGTTGAAGAGTGACATGGTAACAGACAAGGCCTAGGACCTGGAGCAGAAAGCTACCGAGAGAGACTCAGATCCCCATCACATCCCCAGCACACACCATGGGGGCTAGGCATGTCACAAGTCACTAACAAAAAGGCAAAGAGAAGACAGTTGCCAGAAGATGGATCACTTGCTCTGGGTCCAGGCCCTCGACTGAAACTCCATTCACTTCCACCAGTTTGTCTCCAGCGTATAACAACCCTAGGTAACACAAACAGAGGAAGGGTCCAAAGAAGTAAAACAGAGGTCACTCTCCCAATGACTAACATGCTCATGAACCCAAACATGGTCTAATTT